GGGACAACGCCTCTGAACACTTGAGGGTTGAATCCGGATTAAGGCTCAAAGCCCATATATCAAAGTCCTGAAACACCCTCTATACGGGGGAAGGCAAAAGCAATGCTCACTATCAAAGGGAGAATCATATTATCCACCTCTGGCATTTATTGGCACGTTGGGAACCTTATTCGGAGGGAAATACCAGGTTATTTACACGACTTTGGCTTACCTGACGCGACGCGATGGGTCACCTGATCAAGGCCTGGACCTACAATTGTTACTCCTATACACCGGATCCGCGAGAGCGCAATCACCCGATAAGCCGCAGACCGGATTAAGCTTGTACTGCGTGTTTCTGGATACCAATTAAGGGCATCTGGGGTATCGTTGGAAAGGTATTGAGCCATACCATCCAGTCAACGATACTAGAAGTCGAGGCATTCACTACAGAGGAAGATATGGGTCAATTATCCTATCCAGGGGACTAATTACACATATAATCCCCTGATCGACGGGAGTCATTATACGGACACATAGGAGAGTTTGAGTAGCGAATAAGGGCGCCAGGACGCGCGCAGCTGATACCGATTGCAGGCTAATTAATTAAGTAGAATACCCGAGGCCTGGTAATCACGCACATGTAATAGTTTTTGTACAGTTTATAAGGAGGGCAGAACCAGGGAGGACGGCACTGAACCAGACCCCAGAAAGTGAGGAGCAATACAGCCCTTGCGTATGGAGTTGAAGTTTAGGCTTGAATCTTTGGCTGTCAATTAGTCTCAGAATTTAAGTTCGGTTTTGGAATAGCATCAGTGGGATTTATAAGTGTCAGTTACGGGGCGTGAGCCATACCAAGTCCGAGGCGTGAGCCATTGTGTGCGTTTTGAGGCGTGAGCCATAGTTATGGGGCGCGAGCCAAGCAAGTTTGAGGCGCGAGCCAAGTCAGTGGAATAAGGCGTGAGCCAAACAACCGGGTCTAAACAGCCCACCGGATTAATAGTCCACCAAAAACAAACCGGTCTAGAGCCGTTATATCTGCATAGTTGGGAAACTTAAAATCCACGTTGGGAACCAACCGATAAATTCAGGTTGTGTCTTGAACGCCACTTCAAGAAACTAGTTGAGACTTAGCCACCCTTGGGGGAACGGGAATTGAATACTTTCGTGACAAATATGTTTACTCGTGGTTTCCTTGGACCTATACTTGTGTCCAAAAAGACCCGAATCTCGTCAGTGTATCAAGGTCATTAAGGGAGTGTGTTGGTGTTGGAGTCTGTCTATTGTCAGTTTAGTCGTGCTTAATCTCACTTTGTGAGTTAGGTGTAACTCAGTCGTTCGATAGGGGGGATTTTGGCAGTTGCATATTTAGACCGTTAAACCTGAGCAACCCTTACAGCGCGGCCAGTAGTTGAGGCGTGTGTTCGGCTAGCATACGTGCTAGGGCCGGCAGGCCTCGGGAACAAATCAATATACCTAGTATGGGCTCGAGCTGGTCAAATCTAGATGACTAGTCTCGGCCTCATACTACGAATACCAGCGGCATACCTCCGCAATTCCGTGTACATCAAATCTCTCTTATATCTTGACTCATTTCTCATTACTATCTACAATTCCTGTATCGAATATAAAGCCTAGCAGATCCCGTGATTCAGTACTGCATCTCCCACCAAAGTAATGGTGTTGGTGCTGGTCTGAGCCTAGCGCAGAGATACGTTATATATAACTATCTTTGTTGTTATCGTTCAAATATAAAGTGGTCTTGTTGGCATATATAAGCTTTAAAGGACTTAAGCCGTGTTTGTGGAGAGTCGCGACACTAGTGTGAAAGGCACCTGTTTGGTTGTTACCTCAGGTCTGCTGTCGGCACTGTTCCAGTGAGTTCAGTCACAGTACCCGGTCGTTGGCATCCGTTCCAGTGAGTTCGGTTGCAATCACAAGTCTAGATCCAGTGCGGTCTCCGTCAGAGTACGGCAGGAAATCCTATCTAAGTCTAGAGAGACTTATAGGTCTTCGAGATCTCCTTTGTGGTGTCTCAAAGTATAAAATATATAAAACACATATCGCTTCAGTCGAAGTAGATAATCCCTGGTCAATCTTTGACTACTTTGTGCTCATACTAGTCCTAATAAGACTTCTATCGAGTTGGCATTTTCGAGACACGAACCTGAGAAGTTCAATCTTACCTGTAAACTGCAGGACGACCCGAACTCAATTGTGTGTGTGTGTGTGTGTGTTGGTTGTAGTGTTTTTAGTTGGTTAGTTGCCGTCTAGCAGCTTTCTGATTATCTTCGTGAACATCAGTGTACCCATAGCCACTGTTTCACTGCGACCCCCTGCCGACAAGCAGTACGCCGCTGCTCCGCCATCAGCTGTGATGGCAGCCACAGCCGTATCTCCTCTGCCTTAGGCGCTGGAGCGCCTGCATCCTGCACCTCCTCCGCAGCCTGCCTCAACGCAGCCACCCCCAGCATGAACCCCGTCTGGAGATTCTCAAAAGTCCTCACCTTCTTCAGCAATGCGATTCGCAGCTCTTGAATTTGACTCGAACGATCTGCCGTCACCAATGTCAGCCCCTTCACCTCTGCTCTGATGTGACACCTACATCTCAGTTAGTAAAACTCTCCTCTGAGCAGGCTGCACTTACCGTGCTTCCTCCAGTTGCAGGCCACCTTTGAGGAACGCAGACATCGTCGTCTTTGCACTGCTCAACGGTGTCCGGCCCTCCGCCGCCTCCAGCTTGGCTAGAACAGCTGCCTTGCTCGGACCCCCTGTCGCACAGCCCATGTCTTCCAAACAACATGATGTTTTAAATGTACGCACCGTCCTTTCCCCCCGCCAGATAATACGGATTTGGCTGAGACCTATCTGCCAGCCATGCCGTGACGCGCCCTTTCCACTCCCGCTGCAATTCCCTCTGCAAAGTGTGGTTGACATCCCGGAAATTTTGCACCTGTTTGTTGCACTCGGCGATCACGACAATCAGTTTCTGTGATAGCGCATCTCCTGTCGAAATGTCATGCAGCTTTGATCTTCCCGCCGCCCAACGATACCTACCTTGCCCAATATTCTTCTCCCAGTTCAGATGATCCACCTTGTTCTCAATCGTATCCTGCCTGTTGCCCTCTCCCATCTCCTTCGTCGAGAAACCGATTGGATTCAGGACAGCCCAAGTTCGTTCAATGCCTTCCCCGTCCATGCACCCCACCCCGACGGCAAAGCTCAAAGAATTCTGTGTTTGGCACGTCACCTCGTGGGCAACCGCGTGCCAAACCGGCAGCGCGTACTGTATGTCGAAATCTTCGAGATTTGTTGTGATCAACGTCGACGCCGTGATTTTCTTCGCACGCTCCGGGAGATGAACTTTCCATTGGCAGCTGATGTTGTATGATATTTCCAGCATGAGGACCGCAACCCCCGCGAGCGCCGACAAGAAGATATAATCCATATTTGCATACCTGTATTATCCACTTTTAGTCAGTAGCTGCTTATTTTTCGGTTTAATGCACGCACCTTTCTCCTTTCTGCAAGTCGCCTAATCACAAAGGGCATACTACCCCATGCCGTGTGCACACACAACCCCCAACCCCCGAAACCTGCAGGCCTGTTGTCAAATGTGTCTCCTTTTGAAGCAACGCAGCAAAGGCAATGCACGAACTCACCTGCCGAACCGAAATGCCGTTAGAAACCCCAAAAACAAAAGAGCCAACATACATCTTTTTCCGCAATGTAAGTCTGGAGGTGCTCCTTGTACCCGCTCGGCTCCACGAAGTACCCTAATCCAGGTCCTAGCGAGGGGTCTTAATGCTCGTTGGTGCGTAGCCAATTCTTTAAACAGAAGTTCGCGTCCAGCGCTAGGAGGAGCATGTACAGATACCTGTCAGCACGGTCAGCACGTCAGCAACGTCCTTGCCCCTTCCGAACCATCACTCACCGGTATCTGACGTCTACTTCTCTCCACCCGTCCGGCAGATTCTTCCCCTCATGGGGACAAGGCCAGCACAGCACTGCCAACCCTCCCACCTTTGTCTTCGCCAGACCGTCTGCCTCCTAGCCTCTCCCCGCTTGGATAGCACACTGGAGCCAAGCAAATTGTCAACTCATCCTGGCGAACACCTTGTAGCGGTCCTGCAGCCACCAATCAGCCATTGCTCATCCTAGGTCTTTCCGCTACTCACCAGTACTGACGGCAGACGCAGCGGGTCTGTTAATTGCTCCAACATACCGACAAAATTGTGCGCAGTAATGTTGCCCATCACTTGCAGCAGGCGGAAGAATTCCAACACTTGAAATGTTGCGCAAGTGCCCGGATCGATGGTTGATGCTGGGTACCACACGTTACCGAGCAGCTGGGTCAAAGGGTTTCTGTCCTCATGTTCGGCTTTCTCGCAGTTGCAATACTGGATGTCCAGCGAAAAGATTCCATTCACATTGATCACCGCCATTGAGCGCAGCGGGCCAGGGAAGGCACACGGAAAGCTATGGTGCCTGAGCTGGTACACCAGCCCAACGCCAGTCAGGCCACGACTGTCTGGGCATGTACCGCAGAGAGTCGCCTCCGTCCAATATTGACCCGCCCATTCCTGAAATACTTGTCAGAATACCCCTCGCTGCGACAAGTAGGACAACGCACCTTCACACAATGCAGCGGCTAGTCACCCACTCTTAACCCCCTGTGGTGTTCTGATCCCTCTTTGTATACCTTCCAGACCTTCCGGCTTCCGACGCTCCAGCATACCGGAGCCTCCGGTCCTTCCAGCTTGGTATATAACACAGCGCCTGCTGGGCTGCTTGTATCATGGATATCTCTAGCTTCAGCCCTATGAAGTTCTCGAGAACCATGCTGCATCACATATATGTAATTTGATCAAATTTGGCGAAAACGTGCCTGTTCTCAACCAAATCAGCCTTGAATACACAGTTCTTTAGACTGGCAGGTAGCCAGAGAGAAGCTCTATGATTTTATGAGAAGGTACTAGCTTGAATAGGTCCATCTCTATTGATTCACCTTTTCCAAATATGGCCGAGTGGCAAAATGGTTACTGCGTTGCTTTCCGACCACGTGATTACGTAACTTGGAGGCAGAGACTGTGGGTTCGAGTCCCACCTTGGTCGATTCTTTTGCCTTTTTAACCTCTCTTTTACGTAGAGGAAGGAGGGCAGAGGATAGTATTTTTGGGAATTCTTGGAATTTTTTTTCAATTAAATGTTAACCAATCTGATAGGCTGACACATTATGTGATGGCAAACAATGCCATCAGAGGTACCCACCCCTGCCAAAGCATAGCTTGGACCGTGAGGAAGGGTGAAGGAGGTGTAAGGTGCTCGACATAAAAGTTGCAAACTATAGAAAATAAAACGCTCAGGCTCACCGGTTGAATAGCATTCACCTTGAATTTTCTATAGATCACTGCTGCACTATCTGGACTACCAGATATATCAAGGATCATGTCATTTGGTCACATATTGGTGAAGAACAAGGGATTTTATCTGGGACATCAAATCAGGTGAAATGATGGAAATGTCAAGCAATAGGAAAATAAGGCTTTGGATTGGACCTCCGTGGTTTCATTGCTGTTCGCCCATATGCAGTGCTTCTCTAGCACGGATTGTAGACTCACTATGTGAGATTACAGAGGTGCATTTAATATAGGGGAAATACTGCAGAAGTATGTATGGGGTTGGTTCAGAAGTAAAAATAGGAGGTCAAGTTGGGCCACACATACCTGGACCCTCTGGGAACCTTTTTACGACCAAATTGCTCCGAATCCATTCTTATTGGAAATCCCCATATTCCTCCTGCTACATCTCCCCTGTGAGGCAGAACAGCCTGAATTTTCATTCGTGTCTTTTGCCCATTTCTGTACCTCACAAAATCAATTCTTCCTTAAAAGGATGCAAGTTGTTTAATTACTCCAGAGTCTCAGAATTATCTCCAATAGATCAGTGGCGAATATTCGCCCGAATATACGCTGTTTTCGCCTTTCTTGCCTTATCGAGGAGGCAAGTCCATATTAGGCCTACTGATGCGATCAATTTTGTTCCTTAACGCTTCCGCTCATGTAACATGTTTGAAGACTCAAGAGGCTGGTTTATCTCGTCAAGGCAGGTCTAGGGATTCTCCACCAGCATTGACACGGAATGGAAACCCAGTGGACTCTCTGACGGTGGTTGGGACAGACCAACTTGAAAGGACTGGCTTGAACTCTGTAACCATTATTTGCATGAATCGGAGGTGCCCTGAAGGCGAAGTCTCCGATGTGCAATAATGAAGATCTAAGAGACTCGATCTCCTCATTTGGGTACCATCACAGCAATTAGGATCTCCACTAATATAACCGATTTCGCGAGATTTCCCGGCCGCAAATTTAAATGGATAAGAATCCAGGAGATCGTCATCCTGCAGTCTTAGCTTTGGGAACCCGTCATCATGCCAGTAGTGAATCGTTTCAGAGGCTGTTCGATACCTTCTCGATCATCAAGACCTGAATGCACCTATCTGAAAGAAGTTCTGGAACGCGAGATTCGCAGGGCATTCTACAAATTTGAAATGTACTTCAATCTCGACTGAGGAGAACTTAATACATGCTATTGTAGTGGTTAATTAATGCGTAATCCCTCGTCGGAATGTATGTACAGAATGCAGTACACGGCAGCAGGTGTACGTAGGAATAATTTAGTATCTGTCATTCATGCCTCTGCAAGACAAGATCGCTGGTAGTATACATATACATAGACATCCTCACGAAATGACATTAAAAGACGCGCGAGAAAGAGCAGCAGCTACCATGAGATCCTAGAAAGTACCTTGGAGGCTCGTCAAATATTTTGAGGACGTGGAACCGCGTTTTCATCCTCCCTTGTGCATCGATAGAATGGACGAAGAGGATGCATACTAGACATTTTACAAGATGTACAGGCCAATTCTACTTCGATTAAGCTGTCCGAGATTCAGAAAGTAGGCGTATCAAACGTATTCTCATGATCTACAACTTGGTTCAGTGCCAAACAAGGGTTCACTTGAAAGTGGAAGCGCACCTTTGCCGTTGGCATAGATGTAGTCCTTCTCTTTCGCCGCAAGATGTTTAATATATGACTCGTGCTCGTGGGCGCTGACCGCGACCTTGGGGTTCGTGAGCGCCCCGCCGCGGATGGCGGCTGCGGCGACATCGTAGCGTGACGTGTGGTTGCACAGCATCATCTGAAAAATCATAATAAGGGACCATGCACCCATAAGACGAGCGAGCAACGTACATCGAACGGTGAGGTCGTTGTTCCCTCCTCACGATAACTATAGACATAAATTAATGTTAGTCAATTGAACGTAAGACATCGACGTACCCCTCGATCGACACCCGTTCGAGCTTCGGACGGCCGAAAAGCAAGCCTTTGAGCTCAATGGGGTACCCGTGGTAGTTGAAGTGGATCGGCTTATCCGGTGTGAAGAGCGAATTGAACGCCTCGTCGCTGAGGGCATGTGGGTGCGAGCCGTTCGCAGCGAGGATCATGAGGTCCGTCACATTCACGACACGCACGCGGAGCTCGGGGACTTGTTTGCGCAGGAGGGCCGCGGCGGCGATCACTTCGAAAGTTACTTCGACACCGATGCCGACGAGAACGCTATAGACTGAATTTCAGCGAGAATAAGGAGGCGGATTGGGCGGGGCACATACACGTCAGGGTTGACGCCATCGTCGACACTCGCGAACTTCCACACCGATGCGCCGGCCACACAGTGCTAGAACAGGAACCTAGCGTCAGTTTCGTCAAATGAAAGTGGAGCAGGCAGTACCTTGTCCGCATCCTCTGGCGAGAGCCAAACCGGAGTCGGTTGCTTGCTCCCGACCATCAAGTTCACATAATCCTTCGCTCTGAGACAATGTGCCATGGTGCTCAGGAAACAGTTGGCGTCAGGGGGGCTGGCGTCGCGTCAGGTTGTGGAATGATAAAACAGCCAAAGCACGAAGATGCTTACAGGTAGACACGGGCCACTCTGGACTTGAGATTAAGGACTGCGCCGATGAAGGCTCTATTGGGATTCGTCAGGCGGAGGGCAGATGGAGTGGAGGGGTACGAACGGGTTCTGGTGAGAAAATCCATTGTGTTCTTGGCGAGTCCAGGTCGACGTCTCCAGATAGTTCAGGGACCCGCAGGGTTGCCGCCACGGAGTCTCGGCCGCCTGTAAAGAACAGACTCAGATCACAGCTTCGAAGAGAAAAGACAGCGACTGACCATCTTGGTAAACTTGCTATATTGCACCATCATCGTTTGCACGATCCCTAAAGCGCCAATGAGAATGTATGTAATAACACGGCGCAACGGAGACAAACCAAGGAATGCTTCGTAGCTGGGGAATAGACCTGAGGTGCGGCGTCAATGACAATCCAGAATTGTTGAGCGGATGACCTACCCGTTCGACCAGTGAGGGTGTAACCTTGCAGCATACCCTGGCAGGTGTGCTCTGATAGAATCTCGATGACCCTGCCGCCGTTTTCGCGCGACTCGATGTCCCACTGGAAATTGCGAGAAGTCTCATCGAGTACCGCATCCAACTTGTTGGAGACTAGTTCATCTGGCGAGAAGATCCGGAAGCTCTTGGGGTTCCTGTGAAAAAGAATCAGAATGCGCGCCATGAAGAACGAGGAGCGCACTCTTTGACAACGCCCTTGAGGAGACGCCCGACCGCTTTCATGCAACTCTCCTGAGAGCCTTGTTTCGCGCAAAAGTCCCTCCACTCTGGGACTGACAGGGGCGTATATGCACGGAAGCTCTCCTTCTTCTGCCCGAGTCGCTTCTCTACGTCCTCGGGAACGATGCTGAGCACCTCCGGCACGGGTACGCCGTCGGTGAAGAGTTCGTTGGGGCGGTAGGACCTGAGCCACACCTGCAGCGCAGCGAGCTCCTCGTCGGAAGTCTTTGCTCCGGGAAGCGGCACCTGGTGGGAGTGGAAGGATCCCTCGATGAGCTCGCCGCGGAAGGCCTTGGGTCCACCGAGGCCTTTCGGCGTGCGGAGGATCAAGACGGGCCAGCGGGGCTTGACGATGGGGGTCCCGGTCCTAGCGGCGGCTTGAATCTTCTTGATCTCTACGAGCGCCCAGTCCATTGACGCGGCGAGATCGTTGTCAATGTCCTCGACATCTTCGATGATGCGAACTTGGTATCCGTGGCCGCTGATGAACGATATCAGCGAAGGTCGTATAACGGGACGATTGGGACATACGTGAAGAGTGCGGTTAGTTCCTTGTTGTCCATCGTGCCGTAGATGGTACGTTCAGAGATCTTGAACCCGTTGACGTGGACGATGGGAAGCACCGCACCAGACTCTGCGTTTTGCGTTTGATGACGGCAGAGGATGAAGACATGTAACTCACCCTTTGGGTCAATATACTTGAAACCATTCCATGCAGTCGCTGTAGGCCCTGTCTCGGCCTCGCCGTCACCCACCACACACGCGACGACAAGGTTTGGATTGTCCATAATCGCGCCGAAACTGACCGCCAGTGCATAACCAAGCTCTCCACCCTCGTGGATAGCACCAGGGGTCCCGGCGTTGATATGACTGAATTACACAACGTCAGTGGGAAACCTCGCGGAACAAGCGAGATCTTACCTGGGAAAGCCTCCTGGAACACTAAAGCCGGCAATGAGCTTGTGGAGACCCTTCAGATCACGGGTGTTCTCGGGGTAGAATGTGCTGAGGGAGTCTTCGAGCCAGAGGCAAGAGAGGATGGCAGGGGCCCCATGGCCTAAGTAACGAGAGTTGAAGTGGAGGATATTAAAGACGCGGTCATCACACTAACCTGGCCCTACGACATACAAGGCCTCGAGACCAGTTTTGCAAATGAGCCTATTCAGATGAGCATATACCATGATGAGACCAGGACACGTTCCCCAGTGGCCGAGGAGACGCGACTTGATGTCGTCATGGGTTATGTCGCGCTCGACAAGGACATTGTGGTTAAGAAATATCATTGCTGGACCTGTGTTAGCGAATTGACACTGAAGAAGGGGGTGGCATACCTGCTGCAATATAATCTGCAGCTCTGCGAAACATCTTGATGGATTTGAGTTCATCGTCCGAGAGATAGTTCTTGGTATTCAGCTTTACGCTGAGC